TGTATTACTCTATGTCTGATGTAAATGTATTACACTATGTCAGATGTACAGGTATTACACTATGTCTGATGTAAATGTATTACACTATGTCAGATGTACATGTATTACACTATGTCAGATGTACATGTATGATTCTATGTCAGATGTACATGCATTACACTATGTCAGATGTACATGTATGATTCTATGTCAGATGTACATGTATTACTCAATGTCAGATGTACATGTATTACACTATGTCAGATGTACATGTATTACTCTATGTCAGATGCACATGTATTACTCTATGTCAGATGTACATGTATTACTCTATGCCAGATGTACATGTATTACACTATGTCAGATGTACATGTATTACTCAATGTCAGATGTACATGTATTACTCAATGTCAGATGTACATGTATTACACTATGTCAGATGTAAATGTATTACTCTATGTCAGATGTACATGTATTACACTATGTCAGATGTACAGGTATTACACTATGTCAGATGTACAGGTATTACACTATGTCTGATGTAAATGTATTACACTATGTCAGATGTACATGTATGATTCTATGTCAGATGTACATGTATTACACTATGTCAGATGTACATGTATTACACTATGTCAGATGTACATGTATTACTCTATGCCAGATGTACATGTATTACACTATGTCAGATGTACATGTATTACACTATGTCAGATGTACCTGTATTACTCAATGTCAGATGTACATGTATTACTCTATGTCAGATGTACATGTATTACTCTATGTCAGATGTACATGTATTACTCTATGCCAGATCTACATGTATTACACTATGTCAGATGTACATGTATTACTCTATGTCAGATGTACCTGTATTACTCAATGTCAGATGTACATGTATTACTCAATGTCAGATGTACATGTATTACTCAATGTCAGATGTACAGGTTTCTTACCTGTCGTGACGTCAATCATTGCAGGAAACTTTAAAGACACTGATATACATGTTTATTTACTCCAATATTCAACATGTTAGTTATTGATGTTTTAGTGCAGTATGTGCTAGAACACCGACTCTACAGTATGCATCCAAGAACACAAGTGATGGATAAATTAGGATCAACAACTGGTTCTCATAGTCCCCTGCACTGTCAAAGTGTTTCCATCTCACACCGTGAAGTAATCTCACACCGTGAAGTAATCTCACACCGTGAAGTAATCTCACACCGTGAAGTAATCTCACACCATGAAGTAATCTCACACCGTGAAGTAATCTCACACCGTGAAGTAGATATTACTGCACACCATGAGTGTTTTATCAACCTACACTGTCAAAGTATTTCCATCTCACACCGTGAAGTAATCTCACACCGTGAAGTAGATATTACTGCACACCATGAATGTTTTATCAACCTACACTGTCAAAGTGTTTCCATCTCACACCGTGAAGTAGATATTACTGCACACCATGAATGTTTTATCAACCTACACTGTCAAAGTGTTTCCATCTCACACCGTGAAGTAATCTCACACCGTGAAGTAGATATTACTGCACACCATGAATGTTTTATCAACCTACACTGTCAAAGTGTTTCCATCTCACACCGTGAAGTAGATATTACTGCACACCATGAATGTTTTATCAACCTACACTTTGAGGGTATTATCATAATAAAATGGAAATGTTATATAGCCCTACACCGTGCATGTATATCATCCCACAGTATGACTATGTTATAACCTTACACTGTGAAAGTGATATCACCCTGCAGTATAAATGTATTAAACCTTACACTGTGAATACATTATCACCCCACAGTATAAAAATGTTATAACCTTACACTGTGAAAATGATATCACCTTACAGTGTGTATGTATTATCACCCCACAGTATAAATGTGATATAAGCTTACACTGTGAATATATTATCACACCAGGGTAAAAATATGTTATAACGTTATACTGTGAATGTATTATCACCCGACAGTACACATGTGTTATAACCTTACACTGTGAATGTATTATCACCCAACAGTATAAATATGTTATAACCTTACACTGTGAATGTATATCATCCCACAGTATAAATGTGATATAACCTTACGCTGTGAATATATTATCACGCCAGGGTAAAAATATGTTATAACCTTATACTGTGAATGTATTATCACCCGACAGTACACATGTGTTATAACCTTACACTGTGAATGTATTATCACCCAACAGTATAAATATGTTATAACCTTACACTATGAATGTATATCATCCCACAGTATAAATGTGATATAACCTTACACTGTGAATGTATTATCACCCAACAGTATAAATATGTTATAACCTTACACTGTGAATGTATATCATCCCACAGTATACATGTGATATAACCTAACACGTGAATGTATTATCACCCATCAGTATAAATGTGTTATAACCTTACACTGTGAATGTAGTGTTACGCCAGGATATAAATATGTTATAACCTTACACTGTGAATGTATTATCACCCCACAATATAAATGTGTTATAACCTTAAACTGTAAAAGTTACATCGCCCAACACTGTGAATGTTGGCAAGTTATTGGAGTGAATGGCATACTAGTGATCTGGCACACAACACGGCCATCGACCGGCGGACATGACAAGATACACAGTGCAACCACTATTACTTACAGGGATTTTACCAGAACATTTGACAGACAGCAGTGATTGTATCAGAAAAAAGACAGACACCAGTGATTGCACCAGAACATATAGACAGACATCAAGGATTGTACCAGAATATATAGATAGCAGTGATTGTACCAGAACATACAGACAGACAGCAGAGATTGTACCAGAATATTTAGACAGACAGCAGTGATTGTACCAGGACATACAGACAGAGAGCAGGGATTGTACCAGGACATACAGACAGACAGCAGTGATTGTACCAGAATATACAGACAGACAGCAGAGATTAGATATTACTGCACACCATGAATGTTTTATCAACCTTCACTGTCAAAGTGTTTCCATCTCACACCGTGAAGTAGATATTACTGCACACCATGAATGTTTTATCAACCTACACTTTGAGGGTATTATCATAATAAAATGGAAATGTTATATAGCCCTACACCGTGCATGTATATCATCCCACAGTATGACTATGTTATAACCTTACACTGTGAAAGTGATATCACCCTGCAGTATAAATGTATTAAACCTTACACTGTGAATACATTATCACCCCACAGTATAAAAATGTTATAACCTTACACTGTGAAAATAATATCACCTTACAGTGTGTATGTATTATCACCCCGCAGTTTAAAGTTGATATAAGCTTACACTGTGAATATATTATCACGCCAGGGTAAAAATATGTTATAACGTTATACTGTGAATGTATTATCACCCGACAGTACACATGTGTTATAACCTTACACTGTGAATGTATTATCACCCAACAGTATAAATATGTTATAACCTTACACTATGAATGTATATCATCCCACAGTATAAATGTGATATAACCTTACACTGTGAATGTATTATCACCCAACAGTATAAATATGTTATAACCTTACACTGTGAATGTATATCATCCCACAGTATACATGTGATATAACCTAACACGTGAATGTATTATCACCCATCAGTATAAATGTGTTATAACCGTACACTGTGAATGTAGTGTCACGCCAGGATATAAATGTTATAACCTTACACTGTGAATGTATTATCACCCCACAATATAAATGTGTTATAACCTTAAACTGTAAAAGTTACATCGCCCAACACTGTGAATGTTGGCAAGTTATTGGAGTGAATGGCATACTAGTGATCTGCCACACAACAAGGCCAACGACCGGCGGACATGACAAGATACACAGTGCAACCACTATTACTTACAGGGATTTTACCAGAACATTTGACAGACAGCAGTGATTGTATCAGAAAAAAGACAGACACCAGTGATTGCACCAGAACATATAGACAGACATCAAGGATTGTACCAGAATATATAGATAGCAGTGATTGTACCAGAACATACAGACAGACAGCAGGGATTGTACCAGAACATACCTACAGACAGCAGGGATTGTTCCAGAACATACCTATAGGCAGCAGGGATTGTACCAGAACATACCTACAGACAGCAGGGATTCTACCAGAACATATAGACAGACAGCAGGCATTGTACCAGAACATACCTACAGACAGCAAGGATTGTACCGGGAATACCTACAGACAGCAGGGATTGTAGATAGATAGACATGAAAGCTTTATGGATAACAACTTCTTTATTATCTGTAGCAATGTATCAGGTAGACATTTCATTCACGAAAAATATAGGGACTGTAAAATCACGAAGCCTCACATTCTGCACCATCATGTTTACAGAGAATCGTTTAATAAAGTCCTATTTGAGATCAGATCGATGGGCAATCTAAATCTGAAAAGTTTAGATGTGCGAATTAATGAGAACATATCTAGCCACATACTTGCCAGTGCCTGCACGGTCACGGGATAACACGCAATAGGTAAAGGCCAAGGCAGCGCTACACGGAGTAAGGCGCCAAGAAAACAAGCAGAAATGGCAGAATCTTCCCAAAAAGTTATCGTCTTTGAGAGGCATTTAGAAGTTGGAGTAGCATAAGGTGTACGGATGAACAATTTCTTTATTGCATGTCGGTACAGGTTATAACGCTGTTATATATAAAAATGGTATCCCCTTTGATTTGTTTCTCAAATAAATACGTACACGATTTAATTCATATTTTGTCTCTGCTGGGGTAGACAGGTACTGTCTATTTGTCTTTCTCACCGAATTGTTCAATATGTTCTGTATGCAGGACATAGGTCCTACTTGCTGAGGTGAGTGTGTAAATAATCTTGCAGCGTCACGCTTCACTTTGTTGTATTGCCTTCCTTATTGTGTATGTCGGAATGTACTGACATTGAGAGTGGGTTTCACACAATGGTGTATAACACGGATACACACATTCATACGTCACCGAATAAACAAGGAGGCAATGTTTTAATATGTTGTTTTATTCTAAATCTCTTGTATACTCGTTTAATGTCCCGTCAGTTTTTCAGCTACACTCTTGATCTGAGTGAAGACGGATCCCAGTTGAGTCTGGAATGGCTTGAAGAACTTGACGGCCTCGGCAGCGACCTGTGCGGTGGCTTGTCCAGCTTGGGCTAGGAACTGGACACAGACACAGATGTTACATGCGTGAATACAATGTTGCAATGTAACTTACTGTCTGGGTCAACCTTTGAATTCGTTGTTTCAATGAAACTTACTGTCTGGACGAGGCCCTGATAACAATGTTTCAATGGAACGTACTCGTACTGTCTGGGCGAGCCACTAAAAACAATGTTTCAACAGAACGTACTTCCTTCTGTCTGGCCGAGCCACTAAATACAATGTTTCAATAGAACGTACTGTGTGGTCGAGCCACGAAATACAATGTTTCAATAGAACGTACTGTGTGGTCGAGCCACGAAATACAATGTTTCAATAGAACGTACTGTCTGGTCGAGCCACTAAAAACAATGTTTCAATGGGACTTAATATCCGGTCGAGCCACGAAATACAATGTTTCAATACAACGTACTGTCTGGGCGAGCCACTAAATACAATGTTGCAATGGAACGTAATGTGTGGTCGAGCCACTAAATACAATGTTTCAATAGAACGTACTGTGTGGTCGAGCCACGAAATACAATGTTTCAATAGAACGTACTCTCTGGTCGAGCCACTAAATACAATGTTGCAATGGAACGTACTGTCTGGTCGAGCCACTAAATACAATGTTTCAATAGAACGTGCTTGTACTGTCTGGGCGAGCCACGAAATACAATGTTTCAATAGAACGTGCTGTGTGGTCGAGCCACGAAATACAATGTTTCAATAGAACGTACTGTCTGGTCGAGCCACTAAAAACAATGTTTCAATGGGACTAAATATCCGGTCGAGCCACGAAATACAATGTTTCAATACAACGTACTGTCTGGTCGAGCCACTAAATACAATGTTTCAATAGAACGTGCTTGTACTGTCTGGGCGAGCCACGAAAAACAATGTTTCAATGGGACTAAATATCCGGTCGAGCCACGAAATACAATGTTTCAATACAACGTACTGTCTGGTCGAGCCACTAAATACAATGTTGCAATGGAACGTACTGTCTGGTCGAGCCACTAAATACAATGTTTCAATAGAACGTGCTTGTACTGTCTGGGCGAGCCACGAAATACAATGTTTCAATAGAACGTGCTGTGTGGTCGAGCCACGAAATACAATGTTTCAATAGAACGTACTGTCTGGTCGAGCCACTAAAAACAATGTTTCAATGGGACTAAATATCCGGTCGAGCCACGAAATACAATGTTTCAATACAACGTACTGTCTGGTCGAGCCACTAAATACAATGTTTCAATAGAACGTGCTTGTACTGTCTGGGCGAGCCACGAAATACAATGTTTCAATAGAACGTGCTGTGTGGTCGCCACTAAATACAATGTTTCAATAGAACGTACTGTCTGGTCGAGCCACTAAAAACAATGTTTCAATGGGACTAAATATCCGGTCGAGCCACGAAATACAATGTTTCAATACAACGTACTGTCTGGTCGAGCCACTAAATACAATGTTTCAATAGAACGTGCTTGTACTGTCTGGGCGAGCCACGAAATACAATGTTTCAATAGAACGTGCTGTGTGGTCGCCACTAAATACAATGTTTCAATAGAACGTACTGTCTGGTCGAGCCACTAAATACAATGTTTCAATGGAACTTACTGTCTGGTCGAGCCACTAAATACAATGTTTCAATGGAACTTACTGTCTGGTCGAGCTACTTAATACAATGTTTCAATGGAACGTACTGCCTGGTCGAGCCACTAAATACAATGTTTCAATGGAACATATTGTCTGGTTGAGCCACTAAATACAATGTTGCAATGGAACATATTGTCTGGTCGAGCCACTAAATACAATGTTGCAATGGAACATATTGTCTGGTCGAGCCTGTAAATACAATGTTGCAATGGAACTTACTGTCTGGTCGAGCCACTAAATACAATGTTGCAATAGAACATATTGTCTGGTCGAGCCACTAAATACAATGTTTCAATGGAACTTACTGTCTGGGCGAGACCCTTCAGGTTACCCAGTGCCGGGGAAAGAGCTTGTGTGGCAGTTGTAACAGCGCTTCCGAGGAATGTTTTAAGATCGGCAAAGGCGGTGCCAGTCAGAAGACCAAGAGTATCACCCACAGTGTCCTTCAATCCGTTGAAAATATCGCCGAGAAGACCACGACGGCTGTGCTTGGAGAAGAGCTGAAAACATACACCACTGTCACAACTCTCCGCTTCACTGTAGTTTTATTCTTTAAAAAACTGTAGAGGTTTTCGGAATTATATTTTTTATGAGATTTCTGGTAATAGTTGCATCATAAATACGGACAAATTGGAAACACATTTCAAGGTAGTGAAGTATGGCATGACGTTATGACCGCCAACGATGTTGAAAGACGATAGGGGTAAGATGGGAATATTTTACGTGTTTGCATCAGTCGTTTGTAATTGTCGCACGATTTGTTAAACATTCATTAACTCGCTTAGGCTAAATGCGTATCAGTCTCCCAAAGGCGATTTCCAGGTCTCTGCCCCACGCCTCTTCAACACCTGGAAAGTTCAACCAGCGTGGTTGGCGGCCTAAGGCGGTGACGCACACGCCTCCCTATATTGCCACAGGCGTGTTTAAGGGGGGAAAAGGCCTGGGCTTATTGCTGGCCATGGTATTCTATGGGTGTGGCGCTGCTGGAGGTGAGTATTGACGATTTGAGAACGGGCGTTGTACCGATAGTACTGTCCAGTGCACAATATAGAGTGGGAGTCCCTCAGTCATAGTGATGGTTGAGAGTTGGTATATGGATTAACCCCCCTTTATATCTAAATATTTTGGCTTAATATAACGTCTGTGTGTAGAATCCTCAAAACGTTTCTCTGCAATCGATCGTGATATTAACCTTTGCAACAGCGTTGGGGACAATATTCTGGATCAACGCATCAATATCAACGTCAAATGTTCCCTTTTCTGAAACAATGAACAAAACAGGAAGTTCTACTTCAAATGAATACAAAGAAGGTCATCTCAGTGAGGTTATCCACGTGGAAGCACATAAGTCAGCATAACATTATTCAAACACTGACACAGGCATTTAACTGCACAATCTAACTGAAAGCTTTTATCGCCATGTGCTTCATATTTAATCTTATACATATATGTTGTATATGCCTATAGTAGTACCCATCATTGACTCGACATCCTTCTCCAGGGTGGACAGCACCATCTGGGCGAGGGCTTTGACATCCTGGCCACTGGTCAGACCCTGGGCAGCTGTCTTCAGGTTGCCCTCAAGGTTCGTGGCGATCTGAACGTAATGATCAGATACTTTGTCACTGAATTCAGACACAAGACCTAGAAAACGTTTCGAAATGCTGTTTTATCGAGATTTGTACTGATTGTCGTATTTACTACGAAGATAAAATATATGTGAATTTGTAAGTCTGATGTCAACTTTATATGTTGATAAAAACGACAAAACATTTCCATAATCCATATGAATTTATCGTATGCTACTGACTATAGTATCATCATGTCTCTGAATCTCTATAAAATATATATGATATGAGGCGTTTGCGAAAAGGTGACCCACACCTACACAGGCAAGTCAAATATTCATCTAAAAAGAAAGTGAACATGACAAAAGTCAACATAGGGAACTGCATCATACTTTCTTTCAGTCACTGATGTTTCAAAAACCTTAAACGTTTTTCCTGAATCAAACAGCTTTTGAGCAAGACTCGTATAACGCTCTATGAAATCTTTATAGAACGAGCATCCTCTATTTAGTCAAGGACCAACCTGTAGGTCCCGTGACCAAATGATATAAACAAAGGTTCGAACGTGTTTTTGAGTTTCCTGATGTATACTGAACAATTTTGACTTGGGCTGCCCGGTCATTTTGGGGAAGGGTCAACAGTGGTCTTCTAGTAATTATACTCATAAGTTGTTAGATGGTGGCACCAATTGCTTGGGCTGCTGGAATTTGCTTCATAAAAAGTGTAAGTTGATTATTGGAAAGTTGAAGTCATCCCTCTCGACATACAGTCTTGTGGAGACTTATCTTCACGTTAACACACAGCTCATCGTGTTCCGAATGTTATTGTTGATATTCACCTTCTCTGCTTCCTCCACACATAATGAATTGAATGATAATGTGCATGAATTGTATTCACCTTCTCTGCTGCCTCCACATATGATGAGTTGAATGATAATGTGCGTGAATTGTATTCAACTTCTCTGGGTCCTCTACATATGATGAGTTCTGAAGTAATGTGCATGAATTGGATTCACCTCCTGTGCTCACTCCACATAAAATGAGTTGAGAGATAATGTGAGTGAATTGTATTCACCTTCTCTGCTTCCTCCACATATAATGAGTCGAGAGATAAAGTGCTTGAATTGCATCCACCTTCTCTGCTTCCTCTACATATAATGAGTTCTGAAGTAATATGCGTGAATTGTATTCACCTTCTCTGCTCCCTCCACAGACTCCTTCAGCTTGTCCACCACAGAGAGCATCTCATCCCTCACATGTTCCAGAAGTCCGGCCTCCACACTGAGAACAAACACGATACTTTCATACATGGCATGACATCTCTGGCACTGAGCATGATTTACAAACACATACACAACACTGTTACAGAGGGCCTCTCATCTTTTACACTGAAAACAAGGACAAACACATACCCGGTACTTTCATACATGGCATGCAATCTCTAACACTGAACATGAGTATAACAACTACACTACAATAGATACATACCTTCAAGGATGTCTGTAAAGCAATTGGCATTAATTGCCATTTGAAAAAGAAATCATCTTACTTTGATTGAAAGCACACGTCGACATTATACATGCTCCATACACGAAATCCATCGTTTGTAACATATAGAAAAGTATTGAATGAAGGGAATGAAGGAAGTCAGAATATATCTAACCTCATCATGGTGGCTGTCAATAATCGAAGCCTGGCCAAGTAAATTATCGGCCAATTGCTTCGGAAATTTCAACTTTTCTTGCTTATGACAACATACAGTTTGCAATATCACACATATCAATCGACTTTTCGACAAACATGATATCAAATGAAGAACAAAAGCATCTTGAATGAAATTAGCTTTTAGTACATGAAGTCATTACTTACATTTCACGTTTTCCTACACTAGAGAGGAGTGCGGGGAGTGCGCTTTGGATGATTGTGGGTGCAAGCACTGGAAAGGATTCAAATACATAGATTACAAACATTGGTCGATATGGTAACACTCCAACCTTTTATCTAGTCCATGCATATAAGAAAACATCGTGTTTCTATTATTATCGAGGTAACATATTCATTACATTCACAGGACGTTACACATCGTATTTGGTTGATTTCCTGAGAGCGTCACATTACGATGATAAAAGAATAATTGCTGTCAGAGATCATACTTCACACAGAGGATGTATCTTTGACAATGTTTCCATAATTGTTTGTAAGATTGACGTGAAAAGTAACATACTCACCTTCAATCTCCTTGGCAACAGCTGTAGAATAAAATTGAAAAGAAGTTAGACTTGTCGCTTCATTAAAATGAAATCTCTTTATTACCTGGCTTTCATTTTGCATTTGCTTCATGTGTCCCATAACACGTTGTAATATTATTTAACATTATTGAAGAGCTTACTTTGGCCAATAGTCCCCAAGGTCTTCTTCAGATCATCCAGGAAGTTTCGCCGTTCTCTAAAATGGGAAATGATTTTAGCTCTTATAACTACGTATTTCTTGTAACAGGGTTTGTATTTCCCCTATAGTAATATTCGTGTTTTCAGCCAGAGAATGTCTTCATGCATACAGAAGTAATATATGTTTATCATGGTGGTCTTTCAATAATCAAGTCTTGATCTCTCATGCCAGTGCTTGAATGCATGAGCAATGATAAACGTTAACTCGCTACACCAAAAGTGCATACGTATCAACGTTCCACTTTGTGATTACCTGATTCCCGTTTTATTTGACTTTTTGGACAAGCATTAAATATTGAGCACCTACTCTGCCTTCGAAACTCAACGCGTATGCACAATGGAGAGAAAATCTTAGAAGGGTGTCTGTAAAGTAATTGGCATTATTGGGCATGTGAATAGCAAATCATCTTACTTTAGTTGAAAGCCCACAGGATCTGTTTTCTTGACACGAAATCCATTGTTCGTATCATGTAGAAAATTATTTAAGTAAGGGAATGGAGGAAGTCAGGGTGTATTTAAAGTCATCATGGTGGCTGTCAATAATCGAGTCCTGACCATGTAAATTATCGGTCGATTGCTTCGGAAATTTCAACTTTACTGGGTTATGACAGCATACAGTTTGCAATGTCGCACACCTCTATAGACTCTTCAACAAGCATAATATCAAATGAAGAACAAAAGCATCTTGTATGAAATTAGGTTTTAGTAGATGAAGTCATTACTTACATTTCACGTTTTCCTACACTAGAGAGGAGTGCGGGGAGTGCGCTTTGGATGATTGTGGGTGCAAGCGCTGGAAAGGATTCAAATACATAGATTACAAACATTGGTCGATATGGTAACTCTCCAACCTTTTATCTAGTCCATGCATATAAGAAAACATCGTGTTTCTATTATTATCGAGGTAACATATTCCTTACATTCACAGGACGTTACACATCTCATTTGGTTGATTTCCTGAGAGTGTCACATTACGATGATAAAAGGATAATTGCTGTCAGAGATCATACTTCACACAGAGGATGTATCTTTGACAATGTTTCCATAATTGTTTGTAAGATTGACGTGAAAAGTAATATACTCACCTTCAATCTCCTTGGCAACAGCTGTAGAATAAAATTGAAAAGAAGTTAGACTTGTCGCTTCATTAAAATGAAATCTCTTTATTACCTGGCTTTCATTTTGCATTTGCTTCATGTGTCCCACAACACGTTGTAATATTATTTAACATTATTGAAGAGCTTACTTTGGCCAATAGTCCCCAAGGTCTTCTTCAGATCATCCAGGAAGTTTCGCCGTTCTCTAAAATGGGAAATGATTTTAGCTCTTATAACTACGTATTTCTTGTGACAGGGTTTGTATTCCCCTTTAGTTATATTCGTGGTTTCAGCCAGAGAATGTCTTCATGCATACAGAAGTAATATATGTTTATCATGGTGGTCTTTCAATAATCAAGTCTTGATCTCTCATACTAGTGCTTGAATGCATGAGCAATGATGAACGTTAACTCGCTACACCGAAAATGCATACTTATCAACGCTCCACTTTGTGATTACCTGATTCCCGTTTTATTTGACTTTTTGGACAAGCATTAAATATTGAGCACCTACTCTGCCGTCGAAACTCAACGCGTATGCACAATGGAGAGAAAATCTTAGAAGGGTGTCTGTAAAGTAATTGGCATTATTGGGCATGTGAATGGCAAATCATCTTACTTTAGTTGAAAGCCCACAGGATCTGTTTTCTTGACACGAAATCCATTGTTCGTATCATGTAGAAAACTATTTAAGTAAGGGAATGGAGGAAGTCAGGGTGTATTTAAAGTCATCATGGTGGCTGTCAATAATCGAGTCCTGACCATGTAAATTATCGGTCGATTGTTTCGGAAATTTCAACTTTACTGGGTTATGACAGCATACAGTTTGCAGTGTCGCACACCTCTGTAGACTCTTCAACAAGCATAATATCAAATGAAGAACAAAAGCATCTTGTATGAAATTAGGTTTTAGTAGATGAAGTCATTACTTACATTTCACGTTTTCCTACACTAGAGAGGAGTGCGGGGAGTGCGCTTTGGATGATTGTGGGTGCAAGCGCTGGAAAGGATTCAAATACATAGATTACAAACATTGGTCGATATGGTAACACTCCAACCTTTTATCTAGTCCATGCATATAAGAAAACATCGTGTTTCTATTATTATCGAGGTAACATATTCATTACATTCACAGGACGTTACACATCTTATTTGGTTGATTTCCTGAGAGTGTCTCATTACGATGATAAAAGGATAATTGCTGTCAGAGATCATACTTCACACAGAGGATGTATCTTTGACAATGTTTCCATAATTGTTTGTAAGATTGACGTGAAAAGTAACATACTCACCTTCAATCTCCTTGGCAACAGCTGTAGAATAAAATTGAAAAGAAGTTAGACTTGTCGCTTCATTAAAATGAAATCTCTTTATTACCTGGCTTTCATTTTGCATTTGCTTCATGTGTCCCACAACACGTTGTAATATTATTTAACATTATTGAAGAGCTTACTTTGGCCAATAGTCCCCAAGGTCTTCTTCAGATCATCCAGGAAGTTTCGCCGTTCTCTAAAATGGGAAATGATTTTAGCTCTTATAACTACGTATTTCTTGTGACAGGGTTTGTATTTCCCCTATAGTAATATTCGTGTTTTCAGCCAGAGAATGTCTTCATGCATACAGAAATAATATATGTTTATCATGGTGGCCTTTCAATAATCAAGTCTTGATCTCTCATGCCAGTGCTTGAATGCATGAGCAATGATGAACGTTAACTCGCTACACCGAAAATGCATACTTATCAACGCTCCACTTTGTGATTACCTGATTCCCGTTTTATTTGACTTTTTGGACAAGCATTAAATATTGAGCACCTACTCTGCCTTCGAAACTCAACGCGTATGCACAATGGAGAGAAAATCTTAGAAGGGTGTCTGTAAAGTAATTGGCATTATTGGGCATGTGAATGGCAAATCATCTTACTTTAGTTGAAAGCCCACAGGATCTGTTTTCTTGACACGAAATCCATTGTTCGTATCATGTAGAAAACTATTTAAGTAAGGGAATGGAGGAAGTCAGGGTGTATTTAAAGTCATCATGGTGGCTGTCAATAATCGAGTCCTGACCATGTAAATTATCGGTCGATTGTTTCGGAAATTTCAACTTTACTGGGTTATGACAGCATACAGTTTGCAGTGTCGCACACCTCTGTAGACTCTTCAACAAGCATAATATCAAATGAAGAACAAAAGCATCTTGTATGAAATTAGGTTTTAGTAGATGAAGTCATTACTTACATTTCACGTTTTCCTACACTAGAGAGGAGTGCGGGGAGTGCGCTTTGGATGATTGTGGGTGCAAGCGCTGGAAAGGATTCAAATACATAGATTACAAACATTGGTCGATATGGTAACACTGCAACCTTTTATCTAGTCCATGCATATAAGAAAACATCGTGTTTCTATTATTATCGAGGTAACATATTCATTACATTCACAGGACGTTACACATCTTATTTGGTTGATTTCCTGAGAGTGTCACATTACGATGATAAAAGGATAATTGCTGTCAGAGATCATACTTCACACAGAGGATGTATCGTTGACAATGTTTCCATAATTGTCTGTAAGATTGACGTGAAAAGTAACATACTCACCTTCAATCTCCTTGGCAACAGCTGTAGAATAAAATTGAAAAGAAGTTAGACTTGTCGCTTCATTAAAATGAAATCTCTTTATTGCCTGGCTTTCATTTTGCATTTGCTTCATGTGTCCCACAACACGTTGTAATATTATTTAACATTATTGAAGAGCTTACTTTGGCCAATAGTCCCCAAGGTCTTCTTCAGATCATCCAGGAAGTTTCGCCGTTCTCTAAAATGGGAAATGATTTTAGCTCTTATAACTACGTATTTCTTGTAACAGGGTTTGTATTTCCCCTATAGTAATATTCGTGTTTTCAGCCAGAGAATGTCTTCATGCATACAGAAATAATATATGTTTATCATGGTGGCCTTTCAATAATCAAGTCTTGATCTCTCACACCAGTGCCTGAATGCATGAGCAATGATGAACGTTAACTCGCTACACTGAAAATGCATGCATATCAACGTTCCACTTTGTGATTACCTATTTCCCGTTTCATTTGACTTTTTGGACAAGCATTAAATATTGAGCACCTACTCTGCCTTCGAAACTCAACGCGTATGCACAATGGAGAGAAAATCTTAGAAGGGTGTCTGTAAAGTAATTGGCATTATTGGGCATGTGAATGGCAAATCATCTTACTTTAGTTGAAAGCCCACAGGATCTGTTTTCTTGACACGAAATCCATTGTTCGTATCATGTAGAAAATTATTTAAGTAAGGGAATGGAGGAAGTCAGGGTGTATTTAAAGTCATCATGGTGGCTGTCAATAATCGAGTCCTGACCATGTAAATTATCGGTCGATTGTTTCGGAAATTTCAACTTTACTGGGTTATGACAACATACAGTTTGCAATGTCGCACACCTCTATAGACTCTTCAACAAGCATAATATCAAATGAAGAACAAAAGCATCTTGTATGAAATTAGGTTTTAGTAGATGAAGTCATTACTTACATTTCACGTTTTCCTACACTAGAGAGGAGTGCGGGGAGTGCGCTTTGGATGATTGTGGGTGCAAGCGCTGGAAAGGATTCAAATACATAGATTACAAACATTGGTCGATATGGTAACACTCCAACCTTTTATCTAGTCCATGCATATAAGAAAACATCGTGTTTCTATTATTATCGAGGTAACATATTCATTACATTCACAGGACGTTACACATCTCATTTGGTTGATTTCCTGAGAGTGTCACATTACGAGATAAAAGAATAATTGCTGTCAGAGATCATACTTCACACAGAGGATGTATCTTTGACAATGTTTCCATAATTGTTTGTAAGATTGACGTGAAAAGTAACATACTCACCTTCAATCTCCTTGGCAACAGCTGTAGAATAAAATTGAAAAGAAGTTAGACTTGTCGCTTCATTAAAATGAAATCTCTTTATTACCTGGCTTTCATTTTGCATTTGCTTCATGTGTCCCACAACACGTTGTAATATTATTTAACATTATTGAAGAGCTTACTTTGGCCAATAGTCCCCAAGGTCTTCTTCAGATCATCCAGGAAGTTTCGCCGTTCTCTAAAATGGGAAATGATTTTAGCTCTTATAACTACGTATTTCTTGTGACAGGGTTTGTATTTCCCCTATAGTAATATTCGTGTTTTCAGCCAGAGAATGTCTTCATGCATACAGAAATAATATATGTTTATCATGGTGGCCTTTCAATAATCAAGTCTTGATCTCTCATGCCAGTGCTTGAATGCATGAGCAATGATGAACGTTAACTCGCTACACCGAAAATGCATACTTATCAACGCTCCACTTTGTGATTACCTGATTCCCGTTTTATTTGACTTTTTGGACAAGCATTAAATATTGAGCACCTACTCTGCCTTCGAAACTCAACGCGTATGCACAATGGAGAGAAAATCTTAGAAGGGTGTCTGTAAAGTAATTGGCATTATTGGGCATGTGAATGGCAAATCATCTTACTTTAGTTGAAAGCCCACAGGATCTGTTTTCTTGACACGAAATCCATTGTTCGTATCATGTAGAAAACTATTTAAGTAAGGGAATGGAGGAAGTCAGGGTGTATTTAAAGTCATCATGGTGGCTGTCAATAATCGAGTCCTGACCATGTAAATTATCGGTCGATTGTTTCGGAAATTTCAACTTTACTGGGTTATGACAGCATACAGTTTGCAGTGTCGCACACCTCTGTAGACTCTTCAACAAGCATAATATCAAATGAAGAACAAAAGCATCTTGTATGAAATTAGGTTTTAGTAGATGAAGTCATTACTTACATTTCACGTTTTCCTACACTAGAGAGGAGTGCGGGGAGTGCGCTTTGGATGATTGTGGGTGCAAGCGCTGGAAAGGATTCAAATACATAGATTACAAACAGTGGCCGACATGGTAACAATGCAACTGTTTATCTTGTCCATGTATATCAGAAAACAGCGTGTTTCTATTTTTATAGGGTAAGCATATTCATTAGATTCATGGAACATTACATATCTTTTTCGGTTCATTTCTGAGATTGTCCCATTACAGTGATGAAAGGAATAATTATTGTCAGAGATCATACTTCACACAGAGGATGTATCTTTGACAATGTTTCCATAATTTCTTTTTGTAAGATTGACGTGAACAGTAAAATACTCACTCTCAACCTCCTTGACAAGAGCTGTAAAATAAAATTGAAAAGAAGTTATTGAAATGAAATCACTTAAATACCTTGTTTTCAGTTTGCATTTGCTTCCTGGGTCTCACAGCACGTCGTTAAGATCATAAAGATTATTGAAGAGCTTACTTTGGCCAATATTCTTCAGGGTGTTCTTCAGATCATCCAGGAAGTTTCGGCGCTCTCTAAAATGGGAAAGGATTTCAACTCTTGTAACTGCGTATTTCATGTAACAGGGTGAGTGTGTTTGCATTTTCTCCTTTAGTAATATTCGTGTTTACAGTCAGGCTATGCCAGACTCAAACATTTGACATTCTTTCTGCGGGGTCAACACTTAACAATCCATCTGTTCGATTTAACACGTATCAATAGCTTTGTCGGGTCAGCATTTAAGGATCCATGTGTGGGATTAATGCTTAACAATCCTTCTGTGAGATCAACACTTAAAAATCCGTCTGTGAGAGGGAACGGTGATGAAACTAATTTCAAGGTTCAACTATGGAAACCCAATATGCATACATCTTCATCACTTGGTTTACTCACATCTCTCGTCTCCCAACGAGAGCAGTCAGTCCAGCGCTGATAAGACTTGGGGCAACCTCTGAAAGTAATTATGTTTATTGAGTACTTCTAGTAGTAGTGATGGTGGTGGTGGTAGTGGTAGTGGCAGTGGTACCAGTGTCAGGTATTTTTTGAAAGACCTGATATTGTGATGTGTCAAGAGAGGCATATGACACAGTGGGTGGTGTGTCAAGCGAGGCATGTGACACGTTGTGTGGTGTGTCAAGCGAAGCATGTGACAGTGTGTTTCGTGTTTCAAGAGAGGCAGGTGACAGTGTGTTTTGTGTGTCAAGAGAGGCATGTGACACAGTGTGTGGTGTGTCAAGAGAGGCTTGTGGCAGTGTGATTGGTATATCAAGAGAGGCATGTGACCCAGTGTTTGGTGTGTCAAGAGAGGTTTGTGACACAGTGTGTTTGGTGTGTCAAGTGAGGCATGTGACACAGTGTGTTTGGTGTGTCAAGTGAGGCATGTGGCACAGTGTTGGGTGTGTCAAGAGAGGCATGTGATATAATCTTTGGTGTGTCAAGAGAGGCTTGTGACACTGTATTTGGTGTTTCAAGAGAGGCATGTGACACAGTGTGTTTGGTGTGTCAAGTGAGGCATGTGGCACAGTGTTGGGTGTGTCAAGAGAGGCTTGTGACACTGTGATTGAATCTGTAAACGAATCTAGCAATGTGACAACAATGGCGCCAACATCAATGATAACTACACGTTACACGTTAGACATGTACATATGTAGACAACTCACTTTCAGCAATTGGGAGCACCTCTGAAACAAAAGTATTCTGTAGTTAGACTTGTGTTCACTCTTAACGTATTAAATGTTCTTTCATATTTGTGCTAATATTTTCAATGTATGGTCAGGCAGTTACAAAATATTGATTTTACATATGTGTCCACACGTGTTGATCGTTTCAGAAAGGAACCTCGCGTTTCCAGTACATGGAGCATGGAGGACATGTTGTAGGTGCATATTTGCAGCTGAGAAAAAAGGGTGAGAAAAAAACTTACGTTTTCCAATCTCTTCGACAACAGGTAGAGCGGCTGGAGAAAATAATATGCTTGTTATTTGCATAAATAGTAAAAGAGACGAAGTTACATTCTGTGGAATTGTTTGCAGAACAAGGTTATTGTGTGTCGTGACATCTTCTGCACTGGTGGATTCCTACGGTTTACGATGGTTTCCTTTGGTTCTGGGCGCTGCTTATGTTCGGAATACTGGAATAATCTATCAGCCAACTAACTCATTCGAATGATGGTAAAACAAGCCGCGTATGTATACGTCTACTTTTTTTAACACAGGAACCGGCAATGGTGTTACCATGGTGATATAACATCTTACCTTTGGCGGCAGTAGCGATGGCATTCCCGACTGTTTCGAGACCTTTCTTTATGTCATCAAATATGTTCCTCCTCTCGCTGTGACAGGAAAGACAAGTGTAATGTTGGTAGATTTAATGATTGATTTACATTTTAGTGTTACGATATTTAAATGCGTTTTGTTATTATAAGGGGTCTGCGAGGACGACTCATGTCTCTTTTAACGCAGGTTATGAGATGTGTGTGGGTTTTGGAATATCGATTGTGATACACATTGCGCTTGTCAAGTGAAAGTGTATGTTTGCGACAATGTGTGATGTATTCATGAATCTTTACAATGTTTTTTTATGGGACCGACGACGGCGTGCCTCAGTGATAAATATATAAAATTCATGAAGAGTGTTGCGTCCATGGTTACATCACGAAGAGTATGGAACATCATGGACATGTGTGAAATGGGCTCAAAACACCAAAACAAGAACCGTTACAACAGTTATTGTCTACAGTAAACTACGGTTCTAACGAACTTTAGTTCGTAATAACCGTAGTTCGTTATCGTATTTTCGGTCAGTTCGTTATAAGCGTGTTCGTTATAAACGTAGTTTACTGTATAGGATTTTCCCTCACATATGTGACAGTTCTTATCCATAAGAGGACAACTTTGTCGAACACTTTCTATTGTTCTTTCACTTTCATCAAAATATTTTGACACCTCGTCTCAAATATGAAGAATGAATATTGGAGATTAGTGGATTATAGCAGTTTTCCTAGATTCGGTATCTAACGTTCTATTATGCACGTGATTACAATGTCTGAGGCCCATTTCTGGTTTCATCAGCCATGTAAAAACATGTATTCACTTACATGTCCCTTCTTCCAAGAGCTGCCGTAAGAGCCGTGCTGATGAGTGTTGGTGCCAGCTCTGTTAGAATGTCCACGCCATTATTACACAGTACAAAACATACTGAACCAATATTGATATTAGTATAATACAGCACAAAACACACTGAACCAATACCAATACTAATACAAAAAAACCACACTGAACCAGTACCAATACTAATATAACATAGCACAAAACACACTGAACCAATACCAATACTAATATGAAAAAACACACAAAACACACTGAACCAAACTTAATGCCAGTATAACATAACACGAAACACACTGAACCAATACCAATACTCATATAAAAAAACACACAAAACACACTGAACCAATACCAATACCAATACTAATATAACATAGCACAAAACGCACTGAACCAATACCAATACTAATATAAAAAACCCACACAAAACACACTGAACCAATACCAATACTTATATAACATAGCACAAAACACAACCAATGTTAAACTCACTATTCAGTGCAAAAAACAACAACACACTGACTCAATGTTAACTCCGTGATTCCATAGCATAAAACACTCTATAACATCCACCTTGACACTGCATATTTCATTTTTAACTTGCAACAAATCTACACCTCGTTTCAGACAGAACTTGCAATAACGCTACACATAGACACTGTATGTTTCAGAAAGAACTTGCAATAACTCAATACCTGTCACTGCATGTTTCAAATGTCTTCATATCTATTGCACTTACTTTCCACAGTGGGCAGAATATCTGTAATAAAACCAAAGCAGCATTGTTAATGAACCCGTTGTTAATGACAGAATGTATCAGTGTGTTATGAAACCGAAACATTGTTGTTGAGTAATTTTACTTGAACGGATAGGTTGATAAACATTGAAAGTTATCTGGCTACACTTGTGATATGCCCGAGCATAATGTCCCTCTTACATCAACTGTTATGCCTCAGTAGATAATGATGAGGGAATCGCAACCAAAGGATCAAACGAATTTTCATACATCGAGTGGAAATGCTGGCCATCTATTCCATAGCTTGTTATACTTAACTAGAATATGCTGTTTTCAATAGTTACCTTTCCCGATCTGCTCCACCACAGGGAGTGCCTCTACAAGGGAAGTCGTGTATTTCTTGAGTTCTCGTTAAGTCATGGAGGATAGAATTACGTCAGAGGTTATCACGCAAGCGTGCTTTGGGGTGGTAAATGTCATTATTTGAATGTGCGCATTAATATATTACGTCACAAGGTCATACACTCCGGCATTACGCCACCTTGTTTACTAAGTCTCATGTCATTTGTCTCTTGTTCATATCAGTCCCGCCTAGTGGTAGCCTTTCAGTGCGAGTTACAAGTTCTTTTGCAGAATTATCAAGAAATGCCGTTACAACTGTGACAGTGAGGAGTAGGACAGTACATCCGTACACATCAACTTGACCATCTCTAGATGTGATGTCTGCACTTGGAATCGTACAATCATTGAACGACAGCCGCCAACACAGAGTTATCGCATTTCGCGGACATCCATCGGAAGCCGTCCACATTAAATTTCTGGGCAATGTATACATATTTGCCCCCACTTGTAAACTGATTGTCGATACCTGAGACTAATATTTGATAATATCAATATCCCTGACAGTCAATTCTGACCAGACAAGGGAGAAGCCCTGTTTGTTTGTAAACACTAAAAGTAGTACCTACCTCAACTTAGTTAGCATAATTAACCGTACATGCTTTATCCTGCCGAGAAACACCCATTATATGATAGATTTCTATGACCTTGCTTCACAACTATACACGCGAAGTAAGCCTGCGTCTTAAAATCGTTTGATTTTTAAGCCCAGCATTGGAACGACGTGTGAAGCGTTTTCTTGAATTTCACTGAAATTTCTACTCTACTCTCCCAACTCTTTCTTGCATACAACAATTGCTGATAGGAAATCTAAACAACAAGAAAGAGGACATAACAAAATGGCTTACTTTGGGCGATGTTTGCGATGTCTGAAATCAGAAATAGTAAATCAATTAGTCAAGATGGTTTGTTTCAGTGCTTGAAGTATGTCAAATATAAATATAAGACATGATTTCTGATTTTTCTTTACACAGAATACCAGCAAGGAGGGGCGTTATCAGACAGTGACCCAGTCACCAGAGGAGCTGCAAAGTTGTGCTACATATGACGAGACATACCTGAGATCCAATGTTTCTCTACAAAATTGCTGACCTTTATAAAAACGTTCGTTGCAGTTGGAGAGTGTGTTCTATGTTTGCCTACCTTGGCCGAACTTCTCGAATCCATTCTTCAGGGTGTCCAGAAAACTCCTCTTCCCGACAGACGTGACGCCGGCCTCGATCTGCTTCTCAACACCCTGGATAAAGGCGTTGGCTGGAGTCAGATGTACAGGTATTACTCTATGTCAGATGTACATGAATTACTCTATGTCAGATTTACATGTATTACTCTATGTGAGATGTACATGTATTACACTATGTCAGATGTACATGTATTACTCTATGTCAGATGTACATGTATTACTCTATGTCAGATGTACATGTATTACTCTATGTCAGATGTACATGTATTACTCTATGTCAGATATACATGTATTACTCCATGTCAGTTGTACATGTATTACTCTATGTCAGATGTACATGTATTACTCTATGTCAGATGTACATGCATTACACTATGTCAGATGTACATGTATTAATCTATGTCAGATGTACATGTATTACTCTATGTCAGATGTACATGTATGATTCTATTTCAGATGTACATGTATTACTCTTTGTCAGATGTACATGTGTTACTCTATGTCAGATGTACATGTATTATCCTATGTCAGATGTACATGTATGACTCTATGTCAGATGTACATGTATGACTCTGTCAGACGTACATGTATTAATCTATGTTAGATGCAGACGTATTACTCTATGTCAGATTTACACAGATAGTGGACCAACCCGCTTTTTCCTGTGCGATGACCTGCTGAGTCAGCACCTTCTGCTGCTGGAGGATGTCTTGCAGGAGATCAGCTCGACTCAGCGCGAGGATGCAGAGAACCAGGAAGACCCTCATGATGCTGGTCAAGCAGAGAAACAGGAAACCGTCAGTTGTGTATGTATGTATTTATATCAGTACTTTGACAACAGATCGCACAGAACAGGATTCTGAATGAAACATGACAATGAAGAGTCAAACAGTTCACCGGATGCACCAAAAGCATATACATAAACCACAACGATTAAACAAGTGTCCATTTTATGGTCACTCGGAGCATCGACTACTGACCGTAGTGACAAACCATGTACATCATCAACATGTTATGTTGAACAAAGTGGAAACTGAAAAATGCCTTTCAATAGCATTCAAAGGAACAAAGGAATGTCAGGTGGAAATATACATTGTAGGCTCTCTCTTTGACCTGGAAAGTCGGTAAGAGACATCGTGTCAGATTGAGTCAACCATCAGATAATAACTCGTAGACCTCCAACCAGAGCACAACCATCAGTCAATACGGGTAGACATCCAGCCAGAGCACAACCATCACAGAATAAGACCTAGACCTCCAACAAGAGTACAACCATCAGAGAATAACACGAAGACCTCTTACCAGAGCATAACCATCAGATCATAATATGTGGGCATCCAAACAGAGAACAATAATAAAAAAATAACATCTAGACCTCCAGCATCACAACCATCAGCGAATAACACGTAAACCTCTAACAGCAGCCCAGCCATCAGATAATATTACCCAGATCTCCAACCAGAGCACAACCATCAGAACATAACATATGGATCTCCAACCAGAGAACAACTATCAGAAAAAAGCATATGGATCTCCAACCAGGGAACAACCATCAGACCGTGGACCTCTAACTGCCGCACAACCGATGTTCTAACATACAAAGTTCTCGATATTCTGGCCAAACAGACAGTAATTATACATATGTGAACAACTGAATTAGTGCAAAGTAGATTGTAATAAACTGAAGGTAATAATGAAGGACCATTGTCCAGATGCACCAGCTGTAGTGCCTGGTGCTTGCGCTTGGTGCTAGATCCACGTACCTGGTGCTTGCGCTTGGTGCTAGAACCACGTACCTGGTGCTTGCGCTTGGTGCTAGGTCCACGTACCTGGTGCTTGCGCTTGGTGCTAGAACCACGTACCTGGTGCTTGCGCTTGGTGCTAGATCAACGTACCTGTGCGGCGTCTGTGGACAGTGCAGGCACTGCATGGAGGTAGGTCAAACTATATATAGTGGCTGTGCAAGGAGTGGAGGGACATATGCAATCTTGCCAGTTGCTGCATTCTCAGGGTTTTGTAACTGGAACAATGGTTCTACAGTTTGCATTAAAAAACACAAGCAATGGGTAAATTAGGATAAACCCTTTATCCTCAGAGGCCCTAACGCTGTGAGAATGTTATCACCCTGAGCTGTGAACGAATTACCTTCGTACACTATGGAGGTGCTATCATCGTACACTATCTAGGTGTTACTACCCTGCACAGCAAAGGTGTTATCATGCTACACTATGAATGTGTTGTTATCACTGTACACTATGGAGGTATTATCATCGTACACTTTGAAGGTGTTATCACTGTACACTATGGAGGTATTATCATCGTACACTTTGAAGGTGTTATCACTGTACACTATGGAGGTATTATCATCGTACCCTTTGAAGGTGTTATCACTGTACACTATGGAGGTATTATCATCTTACACTTTGAAGGTGTTATCACTGTACACTATGGAGGTATTATCATCGTACACTTTGAAGGTGTTATCACTGTACACTATGAATGTGTTGTTATCACTGTACACTATGGAGGTATTATCATCGTACACTTTGAAGGTGTTATCACTGTACACTATGGAGGTATTATCATCGTACACTTTGAAGGTGTTATCATGCTACACTATGAATGTGTTGTTATCACTGTACACTATGGAGGTATTATCATCGTACACTTTGAAGGTGTTATCACTGTACACTATGAATGTGTTGTTATCACTGTACACTATGGAGGTATTATCATCTTACACTTTGAAGGTGTTATCACTGTACACTATGGAGGTATTATCATCGTACACTTTGAAGGTGTTATCACTGTACACTATGAATGTGTTGTTATCACTGTACACTATGGAGGTATTATCATCGTACACTTTGAAGGTGTTATCACTGTACACTATGGAGGTATTATCATCGTACACTTTGAAGGTGTTATCATGCTACACTATGAATGTGTTGTTATCACTGTACACTATGGAGGTATTATCATCGTACACTTTGAAGGTGTTATCACTGTACACTATGGAGGTATTATCATCGTACCCTTTGAAGGTGTTATCACTGTACACTATGGAGGTATTATCATCGTACACTTTGAAGGTGTTATCACTGTACACTATGGAGGTATTATCATCGTACACTTTGAAGGTGTTATCACTGTACACTATGGAGGTATTATCATCGTACACTTTGAAGGTGTTATCACTGTACACTATGGAGGTATTATCATCGTACACTTTGAAGGTGTTATCACTGTACACTATGGAGGTATTATCATCGTACACTTTGAAGGTGTTATCACTGTACACTATGGAGGTATTATCATCTTACACTTTGAAGGTGTTATCACTGTACACTATGGAGGTATTATCATCGTACACTTTGAAGCTGTTATCGGTGCACATTATGAACGTGTTATCATCGCTCACTATGAAAGTGTTAAACACCTTCACTATGAGGATGTTATCATCGCACACTATGAAGGTGTTACCATCCTATGTTATAATTGTCTCACCCTACATCGCCGAAGTTTTTCCACCAGTTTAAATTGTAACACACTTACAGAAAAAAGTGATCCTTTCATCCACTGTGTTTAACCTACACTTTGAATGTGTTGTCAACCTTCACTGTGAATGTATTCTTCGTTGGCAAGTTATTTGAGTCAGCGATTTGCGAGCGATGTGCCACACAACACCATCAACGACCAGCGGACATGACAAGTTGCAACCATTCTTATTTAATTATTTAGATATGTACTACATCAGCATCACAGATATATCCAGATATTTCCACTCGGGTAGGACAAGAAGAGTTACACCGTGATTTATAGATAATTTGTCAAAAATTGAATCAGTGTCAGTGATTGTCGTAACCATTAGTAGCACCAAGATTGTGTCAGTGATTGTTGTAAACATTAGTAGCACCAGGAATGTGCCAATGTCAGTGATTGTCGTAACCATTAGTAGCACTATTGTTGTAAACATAAGTAGCACCAAGAATGTATCAGTGGCAGTGATTGTTGTATCCATTAGCAGCACTAAGAATGTATCAGTGGAAGTGGTTGTCGTAACCATTAGTAGCACTATGAATGTAATCATTTTATATCACGTGAAAACAATCCTGACATTTCTAGGTCTGAAATTTGACAACACCCTTGTGCCTTTAATCGACGTAATTCTCCTGACCAGATAACACTATGGTAGAGGCACCAGCTGTAATAGATAAGCTGAATAATGTGAGTCTTGACAGAATTTAAGAAATGATGAGCCAATTTGTGCAATCCTTGAAATACAGATATATACACTCTGAAAGAGTTGTGGTTCTTGGAAATAACTAAAAATTTCCAAAAGAGATATTAGCTTCTAGTAATAGTTGCATTATAATAATGAACGAATTGTAAACACATTACAGTCCGAAGTGACGTATGACGTAAATGTGTTGACACTAACGATCAAGAAGGACGATAGGTGTAAGATGGAAATATCAAAAACTGACTTTTTTTATAAGCAGTGGAAACAACCACGATTTGTCAAACATTCATTTTCTCGAAGTGGCACATTGCGCATGAATCTCCCAATGGCGATTGGAGGGAGTGGGACCTACTCCTCTTGCAGTTCCTGGCCAAACTCAGCTAACGTGTTCGGCTGCCCATGACGTTGCCTCACACGTCTCCTTATCAGATATTCTTTATTCATTTCGTGCTGTAGGCCATCGGCCTATTGTACATTTAGATAGTCTACAATTTAGATGGAACTACAATGATATTTACCAATATTTAGAAGATACGATTTAACACAAAAATGTAATTTTAATAAAGAATACGTATGCATTTTAGGACTACTAGCAATATCCGAATGCCATTCATGGTCATGAATATATTTTAATCATGATACAAATTCAAATACAAATAGTAATGCCATAATAAACAAACAACATGCAGTGTCTATCTTTTTCGATCTCGAAAAAGCATATGACACTACATGGAAACATGGTATTTTAAAGGACTTACACGATTTTGGAATGAGAGGCCGTTTGCCTCAATTTATATCCAATTTTTTAATTGACAGACAATTTCAAGTCCCCGTGGGCTCAACCCTGTCTGATCATTATAATCAGGATCAGGGTGTCCCATAAGGCAGTATCTTGTCTGTTACACTATTTAGTATTAAGATAAATAGCCTGTCTAAGGTCTTAAATGATTCCATAGATGAGTCGCTTTTCGTGGATGATTTTAACATATCTTATTCAATTGAAAGACAATTGCAGTTATGTCTCAATACAATTCAATGATGGTCACTGGAAAATGGCTTTAAATTTTCTAAAGCCAAGACAAATTGTACACATTTTTGTCGCAAATATAAACCACATCAAGACCCTGTACTGTATTTGGATGGCACACCTATCAAAATTGTAAAGAAAGCCAAATTCCTGGGACTTATTTTTGATAGCCATTTGACATTTAAACCCCTCTATCAAATACCTTAAAGCTAAATGCCTGAAGGCACTCGATTTGTTAAAAGTCGTTTCCAATTCAAAGTGGGGAGGTGAACAGAAGACCCTCCTCCAACTATATAGATCTCTCATAACTGGATTATGGCTCCATCGTTTATGGAGGAGCATGCAAAAGCAATCTAAAAATTCTGGATTCTATACATCACCAAGGACTACGGCTCTGCCTTGGATCCTTCGAAACTTCTCCCATTAACAGTTTATATGTAGAGGCTGATGAACCATCACTAAAACTCAGACGTCTAACATTATCTCTACAGTATATTACCAAATTATCTTCAAATCAGTCAAACCCTGCATATGATTGCGTTTTTTACCCCCTATATGGGGACCTCTACCAAAATAAATCTTCTCTTATTCCCCCTCTTGGAATAAGGTTGAAAACTGCAATTTCTGATGCGAATTTACACCTTGAAACTATTTCTCCTTACCTCCTTTTGTCTTCAGCCAGAGGAAGACCTGACACTAACAAAATTAAAGAAATCACAAACTAATCCACTAATTTATCAACAAGAATACTAAATATGATACATACAAATCTATGTTTACAGATGGATCCAAGGAGGGTGACGCAGTTGCTAGCGCTACCATCATGGGATCCAGAACAATATCGTTCAGGTTGCCAGTTGACATTTCAATTTTCACGGCAGAATCACACGCCATCTTGACAGCTCTTAAATACATTCAAAATCAATCTAAGCATAAGCAGTTCATTATATTTTCCGACTCTCTTTCATGTCTTCAGGCTATGCACAATATGTCCAGTACACATCCACTATTACTCGACATTGTCGAATTTTATAATGATCTAGCTACTGGCCAATACGACATCGCTTTCTGTTGGTTACCCAGCCATGTTGGAATCGTTGGTAACACAATGGCTGATGCTGCTGCAAAAGCAGCACTCAACAAATCTGTGACACCACTTCTTATCCCCTACAGTGATATTAAACCGTTGATTTGATCGTACATCAGAGATCTAATGCAAAAGAAGTGGGACGCCCAGGTAGGTATAAATAAATTACATAACATAAAATCAAATATTGGTTACATCTTCTTGGGTTGTCAGTCCAGATTTGAGGAGGTCATTTTACGACGATGTCGGATTGGCCATACGCGCCTCACCAATGAATATTTATTGAAAGGTGAGGATCCTCCGTTCTGCATCCCTTGTGATGAAAGAATCCTGGTCAAGCATTTCCTGCCTGATTGTGTTGATTTTGCCATCACAAGGGATAAATATTTCAAAGGTAAATCTATGAAGGATCTTTTGAATATATTAATTCTCATTTAATTATTGGCTTTTTAAAAGAAATAGAGTTGTATAATAAATTTTGTTAACTTGTTTTGTATAAAATAATTTTTAACATTAGTAGAATAAATTATTATCTGTGA